TTAGCAGTTGCCCCTAAGTAGAAGGTAGAAGCTTCTGTTTGGCTCCTTACAGGACAGCATCAGTCTGCTGCTAGAGGCTGTGAGGACCAGAAATGAGGAGCTGGCACAGACATGGAAGAAGTCTGAGCAGTGGGCAACCATTGAGCAGCTCTGTAGTAAGTATATCCTCCCCCACTCACCGTAGGGCCTCAGCCAAACCCAGAGCATGGACTCTATTCCCCTGCAGCCCTGAGGGGCTCCACACAGCTCTGTGAACGGAGCGGTGTTTACCCTAGCTGACACCTCAGCCTGAAAAGTGTCTGTGTGCACACAGGCAGCGAGTCTTTGTTGTCCCCAGGGGACACTTGGCCCCATTCCTCTACTCGTGTCAGAAAAAAGAGCCCTGCTTCCACAGCAGTGGGCGAAGGTCCAGACTGCTCCCCTGCAACAGCTTGTGTCTGAGAGCTCTGTTCACCAGTGTTCACTCTGATGTGCCCACCAACCTATGTGTAGGACAGGCAATGCAAACCAACTGTGCTGTTGACAAAAGCATCTCAGAACATCCCAGCAACAGGGCTGGGAAGGTGGCTCCGGGGTAGAGCGCTTGGCTCACATGCATGAAGCCCTGGGTTCAATTCCTCAGCACCCCATGATAGAAAAAGCCAGAAGTGGTGCTGTGGCTCAAGTGGTAGAGTGCTAGCCTTTAGGTAAGAGCTTGTACGGCTTCAGTGAGAGTCATTGTGGTATTGGTTGGAGGGGAAATTTCGTGATGGGTCAGGTAATCGAGAGCAAGCAAGCCAAGGAGAGAGTGGGAAGCGTGTGGGGACAGCTGGCCTTTGTGGGCCAGAGTCCCCTAATGATAGTTCCTAAACTGTAAGGCTTTCCTTTTTTCTCCTGGTCCTGGGATTAGAACTATGGGCTTTGTGCTTGCTTGGCTTGCTTGCTGAGCTGGTGCTCTATGGCTTAAGCCCTCCCTTCCAGCCTGGCTTTTTGCTAGTTACATTTTCTTCCTGGGCTAATGTGACGTTTTGTGCTGGTTCTGGGGTTTGAACTGACAGCCTCAGGCTTGTGCTTGGCTCTTTCTCTCAGGGAGTCATGGTGCCACTGGAGCCACACCTTCTCTTCTGGCTTTTTGGTGGTTAGAGATAAGAGCCAGGGCTGGCTTTTGGATCTTTAGATCTCAGTCTCCTAAGGGTGCCCAACTCAGGATATTATTTTATTTTGGTGGCATTGAGGATTGAGCTCAGGGCCTTGCACTTTATAGAAAGATCTCCTGCCACTTGAGCTATGTTCCTAGCCCTCCCTCCATCCCCCAAAGTCCTGAGGCTTGAACTCTGGGCCTCGGCACTGTCCCCGAGCTAGCACTCTACCACTTGAGCCATGGTGGCACTTCCTGTGGTTTAATTGGAGATAGCGTCTCACTGACTGCCCAGTCTGGCCTTGACCTGTGATTCTCAGCTCTCAGCTTTCTTGTAGCTGGGATTCCAGCTGTGAGCCATGGCACCCAGCTTCTAGCCTAGCCCATTTATTTTCACTTGAATATATTTACGACCTCGGCTAGACGAATGTTCTTTTAGACAGGAATCAGGTATGATGCAGAAAAATACTGGCATAAATATTGGTAAATGGCTAGGTACACTGACACCTTTCTGTAGTTGCAGTTACCATGAAGTGGAGACTGGAGGATTTTGACCAGCCTAGGCTACATAGTAAGACCCTGTGTCAGAAAGTGAAGCACTAGTGTATAACTCCATGATAGAGCACTGAGCCTAGCCCACGCATGATCCCGGGGTTTAATCCCCAGCCCCACACCACAAAAAGAAAAAAATGATAAAATATTTGAATTTTCTCCAGATGAGAACACTTGGGGTTGGAGGTGTGGCTGAGGTGATAGGGTGTCTGTCAGTGAGGAGAAAGTGTGTCCTGGTTGGAGTCCCATCTCAGACCAAAGAGAATGCAAAGAACCAACCCAAAGGAAACATACTTGTTCATTGAGAGGTATAGACAGCAAGACAGCATACAGTGATGTGGATCCCTTACCCAAGCAGAGTTCTGCATTCCAGTAACAAGCAGAAAACTAGGCAAAAGAGCTGAAGCTTGGTAGGCATATTCAAAGCCTTTTGTTCAACACACACACACACACACACACACACACACACACACACACACACACACGGCAGGGATGGGTGGGTTGACATACAGGCATTTTACATGAGGAGATATGGCACCATTAACTGTGATGCCATTATGGGGTAGTGGGACAATGTCTTATTTTCTTTTCTAGTCACTTTAATACAGTACTTCACAGAAACAACTGAAGAGAGGAAGTACTTACTTGGGCTGTTCCAGAAGTTTCACTCCATAGTTGTCCAGTGTTGTGTGTTTGGGGAGAACATAGGGCTGCAGGAGTAGGAATGTGCAGGATAAGTGGAGACCCAGGGCCACGCGCTGGTGACCTGCTTGTCCCAGACCACACCCTCCCTGCCCACTACCTGCCAACAGTCTACTCAACTTTTTCTTTTTTTTTTTTTTTTTTGTGCCAGTCTTGAGGATTGAGCTCAGGGCCTTGGTGCTGTCCCTGAGCTCTTTTCCTTAAGGCTACTGCTTTACACTTAAACCATAGCTCCACTTGTGGTTTTTAGTGGTTAATTGGAGCTAGAAGCTCACAAGCTTTCTTGGCCAGGCTGTCTTAGAACCCAACCCTCAGATCTCAGCTTCTTCAGTACCTAGGATCCCAAGTGTGAGCCACTGGTGCCTGGCTCTGCTCAGCTTTGGAAACCATCCGTGCATTATGCCACTCACTGGGTCAGAGTCCTGATGATCTGTCTCCAGACAGATCTTCACAGACACACCTACGCACAAATCTCCTAGATGCTACTTAACCCAATCAACTTGGCAGTCAAAATTAACCATCACAAATGCAAAAAAAGTGCACACCACTAGGAGAGCTGGGCATGAGTGTCTTTGGAAGCTCAGCAAAGAGTTTCACCCTGCGATCCAACAGTGAGAGATGAAAATAGACTGCAGCTGTGCTGGTGGGCAGCTTTGTTTCTGGTGGCTCACTGAATGTCCATCAGGTAGGACACAGAACACTCCTCAGTAGCAACAAGGAATGGCCTGTGCAGGCAGAGCGGGGGAGTCACTTGAGGCCCACCACCCTCGCAGTTGATGCAGACAGGGGCTTTGGTGCCAGCAGTGTGATGTCTCAAGCCTCCCCGCCCACGCCTCAAACTCTGTGTAAGTGGGCACTCACCTCCCTCTCCTCCCTCCAGGCACTGTGGGTGTGCAGCTCCCTGGCCTCCATGATTATGGCGCGGTAGGAGGCTCGGCACACACCGCTGCAGCCGCCGTGTGGGCCTGCCAGCACTGCACCTTCATGAACCAGCCAGGCACCGGCCACTGTGAGATGTGCAGCCTCCCCAGGACCTAGGGCCCCGCCCCTCTGGCGCCCGGAGCCCCACATGCTCCTGTGAGGCTGAAGGTGTGGACAGGCTGCCCTGGGGTCTCAGACCTACAAGAGAGAGCTTTTCAGCGATGATCCTGGACGGAAGGTGCCACTGCTGCTGTGCTAGGCCTCAACAGAACTTCCCACCTGGAAACGCAAAGTAGCCCTGACCGACACCCACACACCTCACCCAGTTTTCAGCTCCTCTACTGTGGTGGAAGCACCAGACACCTCCAGATCACCGTTTGGAGTTACGGATGCAGGGAGTGGTTGCAGCTGCCGCCCAGCTTTCCTCTTCCTTCTGAAGCTTTGTTCTTTATTTCCCCTGCCCTGTTGTTTTCTTGTGAGTTCCCCATCTCTGTTCGGTTGCTCTGGGATGAAGGTCCTGCCTGTAAGGGTCACATGAGTGGCCTACCTGGTGGGACCGTGTGGCTGGCCATGGCCTCCGTGGCCTGGCCTGCAGGTCAGTGCCGCCATCCTCCTTTTGCCGACATCAGGTGGGATTTTAAAGTCTGCGTTGGTGATAATAATAGTTATCAGTAACTCCTGCCTGGAAAACCTGTATTTATTGTTTTAAGATAAGACTGCACAAAAGGGAAGTGAGAGGCTAGTTTTTGCCTCCTCTCTTCCTCCAGTGCAGCTCCTTGTGGGTGTTCAGCATGGTGAGTGGGCTGGGCCACCATTGGCTCTTTGACGCAAACCTCAGTGCCTGAGACTTTTCTACCAAACCCCCTGGCTGTGGCAGCTGAGCAGGAGCGGCATGGTGGCCCTTGCCTGTCCGGACAGTCCTAACGGGCTAGCACTGGAGATCTGGCTCCTGCTGCCCCAATACTGGTCCTCCACCCACAGCCTCCTCGTACTCTGGCCTTCTGCAATGTGCGGGGCCACTGAGAAGGATGCAGTGAGAGTATTTGTGGGGCCTGGGCGCTTGACGCTGCCCGCACACAGAGCAGCTAGGAGATCCAGAACAGTATCCCCGCGGTCTCTCGGGTGTCCAACAGAGCTGGACTGGGTCTAGCCCTTTCCCAGACAAGTGGGCATCGTAATGTCTCTTTGCCTTATAAAGAGCAAACCAGCTGAGCTGCACCCTTAAAGGACTGGTCCAGACTGAGAGACGGGGCGTCCTGTCGTCCTGAAGAAGTGTCCCATGCTGGTCCCATCCCTGGCCTTGTAGACAGGACATGTGCTTGTTGGGCGCTCATGGCAGGGCCAGTGCCGGAGCCCACCAGGCTTGGTGGTCGTGGCAGGGCTGTACGGGTGGAGGGTCGGAAGTGGGCAGAGGCGGGAAGGCAAGTCTCCCCAGAGGTCAGCCGGCACACCATGGAGAAGTGCTGAGGGGGCCTGGTCTAAGGCCAGCTGTGAGCCTGGGTGGCCTGGCCCTGCCATGCTGATCCCTCTTCCCGAGGCCATCCATGCCTGTGCTGTGGCCTGCCTACCTTGGCCCAGTGCTGGACAGCACAGAGCTCTGGAGGCCTGTCTACCACTGCGCCGTCGCTTTTCCTCCCGTCTGTTCTCTTAGCCACCAAACCAGTCTTTTGTGTTTTTTCCCCCCCACCTCAGCCAATATTTTTCTCATTCTGAAATTCTGGCATCTCCATTAATTCATGTCTTCAGCTTTTAGCTAAAGAAAAAGTGTTGTGTTTCTTTGCTTATGGTTTTGAGTTGCTCTTTGTTCAGTAATGCACTTTATTTTATTGTCCAAAGAGAGTCAAGCTAATGTTACCAGCCTGGGGTGATCCCTGTGAGGGTTCTGGCCTGGGCAGCCCAGCCATCTTGCTCTGCATGGGGTGGCCCCGCCCCACCTCATGCCCTCTTGTGCCACCTGGCCCCACGGCCTGACGTCCCTCCAGGCCCGGGGGTGGGGTCTGTCTCTGGCTGCCTCTGACCAGCCTGCTCCTGGGACTCGGGTGCTCCCGCTTCGGCTCTGCTTTGGGCTCGCAGGTGTGTTGGCTGGGTGTGGACTAGCCTTACCTCGATCCCAGCTCGCAGTGAAATCTAATAAAAGCACCTGAAGCGACTGTCCTGCTCCCATTGTCTGTTGTTCCTGTGCCCCAAGCAGTGTCCTCAAGCTGTGTCTAGCAGAGGATTTGGTGTGAGTGATTTGGTAACACTCTGATTTCCCCAGTCGCTGGCAGGCTCTTGCTCCTGGGCACTGCTCTTCCAGGTTATCTGGATGGACGGTAAGAGTAACCTGACCTCCTTACATCTTTTCTGCCTCTCTCCACCTGCTGGCCACAGGATTGCTCCTTGGTCTTTGCATCCTAGACAGGTGCACATGGTCACAGCAGTGAAGGGAAGTCTAAGCAAACCCAGGAGCCTAGAGGGCGCTAGCGTCTTTCCTTGAGCTGAGCCTTCTTCCATAGACAGCCAGGGCGTCCACTGTGCTCTTCCTGCTCCCTGCAAACAAAGACAGGTCTGAGTACACCTGGGGGGGATGCAGCCTTGGTGTCTGGGCTGCAGAGGTAATTACAGGGTTTTCCCTGGTCCCTGCATCCCACTGAGACCTGAGGCAGCTCAGCCAAGTGTGGAGTGCACCTTTGCTAACCTGGCTGGTCTTTGAGGAGAGGACCAGGAGGCCCTGGGATGTACTCACCAGACTACTGCTCAGAACTCACACTCGGGGCCTCCTGTGTGCCCGCCCCCACGTGTTTTCCTGTTGGGCTTTTGTGCCTCCGCACAGCCTGTAGCGTCACACGTTCCCCTGTTCCCCTGGCCGGATGCCTTAGCCGACAGCGCCCCGGTCCAGCGAAGGCCCAGCGGCCACCAGCCTGCTCCCATCCTCAGCTGGGCTGGGGTGTGCCTGAGCCCCTCAGCACCATCACTTCAGGCCCCTTCCTGCTGGGGGGAGCTGATCGTTGGGACTGCTGGTGGCCAGGGGTCTGCCAGCCCCCAGACCTGGCGCAGTGAGGCGGAGGAGTGACCGCAGCGAGGCCTGTCACTCGGCACCTCCCCCGTCCTCTGCTCCTCGAGCGCCCTAGGAAAAGTGGCGGGAACCGCTGTGCGCTCTCAGGTGACGCAGCATGGCTTGCAGCTGGTGGAAGGCGGGCTGGAAGTCCCGTACACTCGAGGCCCAGAGTCACGGGCCTCAGGAAAAGGGATGTCTGGTCCCCTGGCCCTCGGCACCAAAGGCGGCCCGTCCATCCACGTCGGGGAGCGGCCTCAGCACGGGCCAGAGGAGGCCAGAGGCTGGCGGCAGGCGCTGCCTGGTGGTGCCGCCGCAGTCCATCGCACCGCCTGCTCGGCGTGTCCCCGGGGCGCTCGGCCCGTTCCGGTCCCGGACACCGGGACGGCCCGCGGGGAGCGCTGCCCGCCAGCGCTCAGTCCAAGGGGCCACCCCGAGCCCAGGCAGCGGCCCCGGAGAGCCGGACGGACAACCTTCGGCTTTCCTGAGTCCCGCCCACACAGACGGCCCGCGGTCCGCTCTCGGCCAGTCGGGCGTGGTCCCGCTGGGCGGCTGGGGCTTCCGGGCCGCTCCGGGTCGGCCCCGCCCACGACCCAGGCCCGCCTCCGCCTCCGGACCGGCACCTCCCAGGCCCGCCTCCGCCTCCGATCGGCCCCGCCCACCCCCGCCCGCCTCCGGACCGGCACCTCCCAGGCCCGCCTCCGCCCGCCTCCGGATCGGCACCTCCCAGGCCCGCCTCCGCCCCCGGTCGGCCCCGCCCCCCCTGCGGCCCGGGTCGGCCCCGCCCCCGCAGCGCGGGTTTACGGCGGAGGCCGCGCGGCGCCGTAGGCGGCCGTAAACTACCCGAGGCGGCACCGCCCCACCGGGCTCCGCTCCGGCCCGCCGCCCTCACGATGGCGGACGCCGCGCGGCGCGTGAATTACCTGGCTGGCTTCTCTTGCCCGCTCGGCGGCCTGGCGGCGGGCAAGCCTCGCGTGCTGTGCCACGAGGCGGAGGTCTTCCTGTCCACCGGCAGCGAGTTCGTGTACGTGTACGACCAGGAGGGCGGGCTGCTGACGGTGAGCGCGGGGCGGCGGGCGGGCCGGGGCGGCGGGCTGCTGACGGTGAGCGCGGGGCGGCGGGCTGCTGACGGTGAGCGCGGGGCGGCGGGCGGGCCGGGGCGGCGGGCTGCTGACGGTGAGCGCGGGGCGGCGGGCGGGCCGGGGCGGCGGGCTGCTGACGGTGAGCGCGGGGCGGCGGGCGGGCCGGGGCGGCGGGCTGCTGACGGTGAGCGCGGGGCGGCGGGCGGGCCGGGGCGGCGGGCTGCTGACGGTGAGCGCGGGGCGGCGGGCGGGCCGGGGCGGCGGGCTGCTGACGGTGAGCGCGGGGCGGCGGGCGGGCCGGGGCGGCGGGCGGCGGGCGGGCCGGGGCGGCGGGCGGCGGGCGGGCCGGGGCGGCGGGCGGGCCGGGGCGGCGGGCGGGCCGGGGCGGCGGGCGGCGGGCGGCGGGCGGGCCGGGGCGGCGGGCGGCGGGCGGGCCGGGGCGGCGGGCGGCGGGCGGCGGGCGGGCCGGGGCGGCGGGCGGCGGGCGGGCCGGGGCGGCGGGCGGCGGGCGGCGGGCGGGCTGGGGCGGCGGGCGGGCCGGGGCGGCGGGCGGCGGGCGGGCTGGGGCGGCGGGCGGGCCGGGGCGGCGGGCCGGGGCGGCGGGCGGGCCGGGGCGGCGGGCGGGCCGGGGTGCCGCCTGACCCCCTCCCCGGCGCCCAGGCCGTGTACCAGTTTCCGGACCAGGTGTGGCACCTGCAGCTGCTGGCCCGCCGCGGGGCGCTCTACGTTCTGTGCGCCCGGAAGGGCGTCTACTGCTTGTCGGTGGAGCCCGGGGGCAGGTGAGGGGGCGTGGTCCGCGCTCGCGGGCTCCCGGGGGGCGGGCCCCCGGTGAACCGCCCGGCCCCCCGCGCCCGGCGCCCCGGCCCCCCGCGCCCGGCGCCCCGGACCCCCGCGCCCAGCGCCCTGGCCCCCCGCGCCCGGCGCCCCGGACCCCCGCGCCCCGGTCCCCCTCGCCCGGCGCGCCGGACCCCCGCGCCCCGGTCCCCCTCGCCCGGCGCGCCGGACCCCCGCGCCCCGGTCCCCCTTGCCCGGCGTCCCGCGCCCAGCGCCCCCGGCCCCCGGTGAACCGCCCTGCGGGCCGGCCACCTCGCCCGGCGTCCCGCGCCCAGAGCCCCCGGCCCCCGGTGAACCCCCTGCGGGCCGGCCGCCTCGCCCGGCGTCCCGGCCCCCCGTGCCCAACGTCCCGGACCCCCGCACCCAGTGCCCCCGGTGAACCGCCCGGCCGCCTCTCCAGGCCCCCCGGCCCCCCACGCCCCAGGCGAGCCGCCCTGTGGGCCGGCCGCCTCGCCCTCCCCCCCCCCCCCCCCCCCCCCGCCCCCGGACCCCCGCTCCCAGCGTCCCGGACCCCCACGCCCAGCGCCCCCAGTAAACTGCCCGGCCGCCTCTCCCGGTGTCCCGGCCCCTGCGCCCCGCACCCCCGCGCCACTGCACGAGGCAGCCGCCTGCCCTCAGTCTCTGCTCGAACTTGGGGGGTCAGGAGGTGAAGGCCCCAGCCCTCTCTGCCTCAGCCTTCAGAGGGTCCAGAGCGTCCGGAGCGGGGAGGGCGGGGGCTGGAGGGGCGGCCAGGCCTGTGGACTGCGGGTCGGGCTGCCGAGAGTCAGTGAATGATGCCCCTCGGGTTACAAGCCTGTCGGCTTCTGACAGCCTCGTGCTGTCGCATGTGTCCTGGGCAGCCCCTGAGCAGTGGGTGGCCTGTGGAACGGCTGGCACCACAGGGACCCTCAAGAGCAGAGGCTCCCTGTGAAGACTCCGCCGGCCTGCACCGGGAAGGTGGCAGCAAGCCTCCCTGAGTCGGCCCTGCGGGTCCTGATCACATCTCCATTGTTCCCAAAGCGTGGCAAGCCGGGCCGGTGAGGACAGCCTTGGGGACGAGCTCCCGTGCCCTGTGGTCCCCGTGGACCCCGCGGCCTGCGCTGTCCCCGACGCGGCGCTCTGTGCCTTCGCCGTGCTGGACGACCTGCTCGTCACCCTGGTACAGGGCCCCGCCCAGTGGAAGATGCAGTTGTTCGAGCGCCCCCACCCAGGGGAGGACCCCCAGCCGGGAGTACCCCTCGGGGAGGTGGAGTTATCCACCTGCAACCCCCCAGCTGGGGTCCCCGAGAAGCCTGCGGCCCCCCGCTTCCTGCCAGTGTTGTGCTGTATGTTCCCTCCAGGCGCCAGGGATCCTCACGGGCACTCCCAGGGCCGTGGGGGCTTTGTGCTGAAGGAAGCCCTCTTTGGGCTGCTCTTTGGAGCCGATGCCACCATCCTGGAGTCCCCTGTGATCCTCTGTGGCCTCCCTGATGGCCAGCTCTGCTGTGTGGTCCTGAAGGCCTTGGCCAACTCCAGGTCTGCCCCCGGTGACCCAAAGGCCCTCGTCAAGATCCTCCATCACCTGGAGGAGCCTGCGGTTTTCATCGGGGCCTTGCAGACTGAGCGCCTGGCTGAGGAAGCCGCGGAGGAGGTGCTGCCAGATGAGGAGCAGCACTCTGACTGCCTGGTGGCCCTTGGGCACCAGGGCCGCGCGTTAGCCATCAAGGCCAGCTGGAACGAGTCCGGGAGTTTAGTGCCAGAGCTTCGAGAGTATTGGCTCCCAGGGCCGATGCTCTGTGCTGCCTGTGGAGCAGGCGGTCGCATGTACCTCAGCACTCCCTCCGACCTCTGTGTGGTGGACCTGGCGCAGGGAAGTGCCCCTTCGGACCCCCAGCAGCCCCACAGGGATCTGGGAAGCCTGCCCCTTGAACTGTGTCCAACCAGCTTGAGCATCTGTAGTGTCCTCACGCTCTCCGTGTCATCTAGGACTCCTGCAGGTACATGCTGCTGCTTAGACGTGGAACACCAAAGCCTTAGGGAGAGGCCTTCCTCTTTGCAGTCTTCCCTGAGCTGGCCTGTCTTCTCGTGGCTGCTTCTGACCTTTTTTAGCTGGCCAGTATTGGCGTGGCCTCACTGGCATAGCTTGGTGATTCACTCCCTTCTGTCTGGGGTCAAGGAGCGCTGTATACATGTCCTTCCTGGGCTCTGGGAAAGGACTGCTGCTAGGCCTGAGTTTGCTCCGACTCCTGGCTCAAATGGCGACTCAGAGCATGTTGCCTGAGGAACCCCAGAGGAAGAGCAGCTCCCTCAGCAGGTCTGAAATCAGGTCAGGCCGACACTTGATGTGGAGTGAAGGGCTGAGACACACCTGCCTCCGCCACTCGGGGCTGAGCAGAGAGCGTCTCAGCTTCTCGGGCCAGAGGTCTTAGCTGCGTCTGCTTGATGTTGGGGTGAGAGAAAGTCGTTTCCTATTGGGTGGTCAGCGTATTGGCAGACCTGCTGAGAGAAACCTGTGGGGAGAAGGCTTTGAAGGGAAGCAAGCCCCAGGCGTGGGGATACCCGTGAGCAGACCTTCCGCTGCTCAGCCACCCACCTCTGTAGAACTCAGGCCACAGCAGTGTTGGAGCGGAGGGGCTGGGTCAGTCAGATTGCTCCAAATCCAGGACTAGGAAGGGGGCACTGCAGAGGTGGTCAGTCGGGCTGGGAAGGCGGCTCAGCGGTACAGTGCTCGCCTAGCACGCAGGAAGTTCTGGATTCCATTCCTCAGTGCCACACATTCAGGAAAAGCCAGAGGTGGCAAGTGGTAGAGTGTTAGCCTTGAGCAAAAGCTCAGAGACACCGCCCGGCCCTGAGTTCAAGGGGAGGCAGTCTATAGGGGTGTCCAGTGAGGACGGGTGAGCAGTGGCCAGCCTTGCTCCGTGTGC